ACACTAAATTCCGTGAAGAAAAACCAGCGCTCCACTCCCCCCTCCGAAAAAAAAAAAACAGGCCACAGTTTCCCCCTCCCAAACACTAAAATCCGTGAAGAAAAACCGGCGCTCCGCTCCCTCCTCCGAGAAAAAAAATGGGCACAGTTTCCTCCTCCAAAACACTATATTCCGTGCAGAAAAACCGGCGCCCCGCTCCCTCCTCCGAAAAAAAAAAGCCACAGTTTCCCCCTCCCAAACACTAAATTCCGTGAGGAAATACCGGCGCTCCGCTCCGCTCCCCGAAAAAAAAAGACCACAGTAGCACCCAAACACTCGCCACAGCAGTCTGAGGAGCCGGCAGGAATGATGGCGGAAATGCTTCTATTTTTGGCAACGCGACACTGACCACTGCAGCAGTCATAGTGATGTTCATCATCATGCAAGAATGGAGACCCTGCAGTGGAGCCTCTGAGCCAGGACCTTGAGGCCTTGAAGAGTGCCAAGGATCCCATCCTCCACACCTGCACCAGCTGAAGGCTGCAAGCTGAGGAAATTTCGGGTTAAGCGGCTTTGAGCCTCAGGGGCTTCGGGGCTTGGGGGTTTGGGGGCTTCGAGGGTTTTAGGCTTCCTCACATCCGACACTGCCCCAGCCTTGCTTGGTGTAGCCGCCTTCGAGCATGAGAACCTCAAACGCAAACGCTGGATTCAGGATTTTCTCGGCCTCGGGCTTTTGATCCGGAAGTCGTGGCACAGGGGTTTTGGAGTGGGGCTTGGAGGCTCGCTGCTCGGGAGTTCTACTTAGTTGCTGCACTGAACCCGTTGCGGCTCTGGCCCTCAACTTCTCAAGCATAAACTGGGTTCTTGTTAAGGGATTTAATTTAAGTTACCATAATAAGGAAACCCTATTATTTACTATAGATCCCTATTATGGTAACTTAAATTAAGTCCCTTAACAAGAACCCAGTAAAGGAAGTGAAGCCTCTGAGTCTCTCGGGACGCCGCCATCGGGGCTTTCTCCGGCAGCCTCTTGGGGATGCGGAGCTTTGGCGAGAGGCTTTGTCAAAGTCGTGTCAGGCAATGCAGGCTGGGGACGTCGAGAGCTGTTCTGAACCCCTAAAAAAATCTCGATAAGGCCCAATTAGTCACAACGCTCTCCCATCGGCCTGGTGAAGTTGGCAAAGAAGCTCTCGTAGTGAGGCCTGGAGATCCCACGGCCGACCTTCGCGGAGGCTCCCGGGAGCGGCCAGCACTCTGGCTGGTTTAGGGTTTAGGGCTTAGGGTTTAGGGTTTAGGGTTTAGTAGGGCTTAGGGTTTAGGGTTTAGGGTTTAGGGTTTGGGGGCTGCGGCTGCGGATCTCCGCAGCGGCTGCAGTGGGATACGCTGTGTGACACGAGACCCGGCAAGGGCCAAGCACAGGCAGGCATGCAAACTGCAAATGCTTCGACGCGAAACCGAAGGAAGAGGCCGAGTCTGATGAAAAAATGACAGAATGCGGCAGGGCTTTATCCTCCAGGGTTCAGTGCCGGCTTCCGTCATCTTCCGGCAGAAAGGCCCGGCCTTCTTGTCCGAAATCTCGGCCTCCTTCTGGTGAAGGTCAAAGCCCAGCCCCACGAAGAGCCCATCGGGCTGGAAGCTCGTCATCTCCTCTCGGGGCTCTGGGATCAAAGGGTGGCATCTCCTCCGCTTCGCCTTTTCTTTAGGTAGTCTACAGTTCTGCATACTTAGAACTTAGCACTCACGCCCTTACATACGTACGTAAGGGTTTTATGGCATCTCCTCTCCCTCGGCTTACTCTGTAATTTAGCAATCATATCCCCCTGCTTCGTCCCAAAATACCTACTGTATACCGCAATGCGTCTTCTCCTCCCGTTGGCGTTGTGAGGGTTTAACAAGGCTTCTCTGGGGATTTGATTAGTGTCTTGTCGAGGTTTGAATACTGCATGGTGCTACCCCTTTTTAACTATCCTTATATCCTTCCAGTATACTTAACAAACAACACCCTGCAGCACTACAAATACTGCTGGAAGCAAGGCACCATCGCAAAACGGCAACAAGATTTGGAGCTGAAACGAATGACAAGGCAAGCACAGCAGGTGTATGGCCGCTCTGCCTTGTCGAGAGTGTTGCACCACCGCTGATATCTTGTGATCAGCCCTTGGTTGGCGCTGCTCGCCGTGCCTGCGCCAGGTCATGCCATAAAGAAACATGCTGCAGCAGTACGCAGCTACTGTATAATCCCACCTTGTGACACGTTCTTCCCAAGCTTGGCCCAGAATCAACACCAGAATTCCAATCCTACACGGACCCGAAAAGTGACCGCACCTTGTGTAACACTCCGCGGCAGAAGGGTGTCCCTTACGCGAACCTGTCGTGCGGCTTTCGGGTTGCACGTCGCCAGAGGGTCTAAACCCTGAACCCTAACTATGGAGATCCGTTGAGTTTGCCAGGGCTTGATCCTGCCTCGAATGCCGAACCACACTGGCTTTGGACATGGTGCGCTTACTGGGAGTTCGAGAGAGCTCGGAAATCAATTGCGTCCTAGATTCTTTCGGAAAAAGGACACAAGAGTCTAAGCGCAAGGCCTGTAAGAGAGGGTTCAAGGCCTAGGAAGACACCATCTTTAGGACCCTGGGAGCTCCGGAACGCTTCGGAGCTCGTCACGGCGTGACTAGAGAAGAGTTCGAAAGGGGCTTCGGGTGGCTGCAGGGACCTCAGAAACAGAGCAGCCTGAACACACTGAGCACCCAAAAAAAGAGCCGCACGTCCTCAAATGGCCTCCCCCCCCCCCTGCCCGGCACACTCCGGGTGCCTCGAAGGACCTCTTCAGGTTCTGCTTCACCGAGTGCCAGCTGGAGCCCTGGTTCCTTGGGCGAAGCTTCGGGCCGGGTCGTCTCGTCTTCTCTGCTCCGTTCGTCGACTCTTGCGAGGCATCCTATCTGAGCAAGACTTTTTGCATTAGGGAAAAATTATCGACTCCCAGGCTGATTCTTGCGCATCAGCTGCTCGGCTGCCGATCAAAAGTGATTGAGCCGTCCTGGTGTGCCGTGCCACGCAGCACGATCATGCAGCGGCAGAGGGTGATGCCATATGTTACGTATGGGTAACATTAGACAGATGATGCCATACACCCCGCAGCCAGACATTCAGCCCCCGGCGGATAGCCATCGATGTGGATGGAAGAAAACAGGATACCTTCGGGGTCCATGTCAGGCTACCCAGCTTGGGGTGTCCAGGTGCTTAGCAAACCTTTGTGAAAGCGAATGGCTTGAAGGGAAGCCTTGCCTAGAACATTTCCGACATGAAAATCGAGGTTCTCTTGGTCAGCTCAGGGGGGCATTTGTGCAGTTCCTGCCTGTGCAGGAGTTGCGCTTGCCAATGAGGAAGTCGCGCTGATCCTCTCTCCGAGAGAGTGCTGTCGTGTTGCTGGACAAACCCGAACTGCCAGACGAGAGCTTTGCGAAACATTCCACGAATAGCTGCTTCGCTAGCCGGTGCAAGAATGATGATGTACTGGTGCATCGGGCAATTGGTTGGGCTGGAAGAAGGAATTTTCGGGCTCGGGGTACGGCTTAGAAGCCAAGAGGACCCTGAACCACAGACTCAAAGCTTCAGATACGCTGTCTGGGAAGGCAGCCGTCCTTCTTAAGCTTTGAGAAGTGATCGACCTCCTTCCAAACCTGGCTGGGGCACCAGGCTCAGCTTCACTCCCTAAACCTGCAACCCCGAGCAAAGTACTTCATGCCAACCAGGTACTTAAAGGATCATGGGACTTAGTAAGTAGGGTTATAACTAAGGTAACTATAGTTATAACCCCAATTAGGGGACTTATAACCTTACTTACTAAGTCCCATGATCCTCCAAGTAACCAACTCGAAGGGTTTAAGGAAACATCCGCGCTCTCCCCAGTGCCCCCTTCACCGAGGCACTCCGTCGGGCATGTGCGCGTCGATGTCGACATACGCCAGTCGCTTTGCATGGCCCTTGCATCGCTGGACTCGGGGGGGGGGGGGGGGGAAAGATATGTCATACCCTAAGCCCTAAGACCTAAGGCCCTGGAGAAGAAGTGCAGGTTCCTATGCAGTGCCGGTACAGTTTCTCAATCATTGCGGAGCACAACCTTCTCTCTCCAGGCTAGACGTTTGGTGAAAGCCAGCACTGCTACCGTGTAATACTAGAAATCGCTAGTGCACATCACGGCGTGCCAATATGCATCACCTAAGTGTGGACACGTCATGCAAAACCTGAAAACTGGATTCTGTGATCGCTGTCGGAAACCTCAAAACTTAACGACAGCTCGCGGACGCTGATGTGTTCCGGCGGGAATGCTTCCTTTTGATGTGCTTTGGCAGCGACTCCCAAACGTGACACTGGTTTCTGTTGTTGCATTGCTGCGTCTGCAGCTGCACATCTTCAAAGCTTTGTGAAGAAAATCCCACGAGGGGCGAGCGACCATCTTCGAACAATCTACAGTCCGTCAGATACACTTTCGATATGCAAGTGCGGCGCAAGCCACCATTGGCCGAAGAACCCTGAAATCCACCTACAGTACTGAGCCATAATTTCATCTTCGAAGCACATGCTACCAAAACCCGCTAGAAACACCACCATCTGGTAAAAGGCAAAACCAGCAACAAAACGATCCAAGTCACATGGCAGAACCCCAACGTACGCTGGCCGCTGGCCGACCCCAGCTCATCACCCGCCATTCCCCAGACGATCAGTGTTTCACCCGAGAGCCACATAAGGAGCGTTGATGGAGGCGAGAAGAAACCCGAGAATCCACGCGTTCCCGCGCTCTTCCCAAGTTTCTGGGTTCAATCGCGCACGCCCCTCCCCCAGATGAGAATGATGGCGAGGTTTCTGTGGACATCTGTGGACAATGACGGTGATGCGCGTCTTGCATGCTCAAAGGGCATTCCGAGTGTGACTATTAGTAGTACCACTGCTCTTATGCTGCTCCAATCTTTGGTACCGCATCCTTTTTGGCTTTTACTTGATTGAAAAGCTTGCCCGGCTTGATGTTCTTTCGTCGTAGCTGGTATCGACGGTGGTCATTCTATGCTAAGTTTCGGTTGGGTTCGTCAAAAGTAAGCCTGAGCACGTGTTTGATTGACTTTCATTAGCAAAGGGCCGGAGGAGAGTGCCGATGGGGATCATGATCAGCGTCTTCGTCATCCTCGTCATAATCTTCATCACTATCATTGGTTTTGGAATTCAGGGCAGGTCGGAGTTCAGTGGAAGTGTCTCAGATCCAAAGGCCCAAACCCAAAGCAACTCATGGAAGGGGGCACAGCCGGCCAGAACCACAACCACAGGGGGAAACCCACACCGCAGGGGACCGCAGCGCCCAGCGCAGAGCCAACGCATGACTCCGACATGCCCGGAGGAGCACACGTCTTAGATCTTTCTTGAAGCCCCAAGCATGGCAGGTAAGTGATCATCACGAATGCTAGAAACGGCATGCACAGTCAGGGTTCAGATTTTGGGGCAGTTTTGGGTTTGAGGTCTGCGGTTTTTGGGGGTTTCGGGCCTGCGACGACCCCTACACGAACCCCAAAGCGTCCCGGCCTTACGGAGACTGTGCAGCGCTGCGAGCCACACTGAGGGGTAGAAGCAGCCACCGCCGAGGCTTGCACCTCCCAGTAGTGATCTTGTCATGTACTGAGAATCTGATAATCCTTTTGTAGAACTTCAGCAAACCAAGCTTGAGTTTTAGTTACTGTAGTGGTTCGGAGTTCTCACAGGCACACAGAAGCTACCTTCAAACTTCAAGTCACGCACAAACCCCGACGATCTTTTGCTCCAAGACGGAACTGCACCGGGCGACTCGGGAGCCGAACCGGAAAGCTAGAGGACCACGACAGCTCTGCTCCGTTCGGAGTCCACGACCTCGAGCTCCAGCACGGCACCTACGAATCCCTCGGTGCGACAAAGCCTGCCGCGTGCGCTCAGCTTTAGACCGCCTCGAAACGAAGTGCGACCATGCGCCTTCTTGAAATTACGCGGTCCTGGCCCAAACCTTTGAGGTGAATTTTTATGAAAGCCGGCCCCGAATAGGCTAGTACTGTAGCCTCCACGTGTCGTCAAACAAAACCTTTAGATACCCCAACTTTAAGGCCCCTCCCCTTCCGGCACACCCAAAGCCCCCACAGAATGAACGGAAACCGACGTAAACCCTGTCTGCCTGGAAGCTGTCCGCAGGGAGCCCGCCAGGTGTCGCCGAGCCGAAGGTCGTGGCCGCAGGTGGCGTGGTGGCCTCGAGAAATCAAACCTTCAGAGTGTCTAGATCTACAAGTAACAAACTAGACAGACGGACAGACAGACAGAGAGATACTTGGGATTTGATGGGCTGTATAGAAGTGCGACACACAGGAGTTTACAGAACCCTAAACCCTAAACCCTAAACCCTAAAATTGAAGGCTGGAAGCTTTGAAAGCTTTAGAGCAGGTATTGTGGGAATTGACCTCTGGGAGCCATAGACTCTGTAAAGAGGGGTCTAGAAGGGACGGTTTAGGGTTTAGGGTTTAGGGTTTAGGGTTTAGGGTTTAGGGTTCACGGGTTCAGGGCTTCTAGGAAAATTGTTGAAGGCCTGCAGGAACTCCTGGAACTCCTGGTTTGGTCTTTTCAGCCTTTAGTGTCGAAGCTCGAGCCCACAAGCTCACCCTGCAGATGCTCCACTCATCACTCGACCGCCGGCTTTGCAGCACGCTTACTTACTGTACGCATGAAATACATCGACGAAGGCTCATGTATTACTTGCCACGCGAAGCAAACGGGACTGGACACTGCTTGAAAACAACTCGCGCCTCACCTTGAACCTCTGATCAGAAGCTGAATCAGACGAGATTGCGCGTTCGCGCGGAACTGCCGCGGAACGAAAAATCTGTGAAAGCTGTCCTGCACCATGTCAACATCACCAATGCCGAACCTCAAATCCTAAACTCCCCCCAAAGTCTACACCACAAACCAGCGGAGGGTTCTGGGAGCACGGCCGGGGGGTCGGCCGAGCACCAGGACCGGCACACCCGCCTCGATTTTTGGTTGCCGTCTCTTGGCTCTCTTTAGCCCTAAACCCTAAACCCTAAACCCTAAACCGTCTTCGGCCTTCGGGGGCCTTGGGGGGCTGGGGGCTTCGGAAGTCCTCTCCGGGAGTTCTGTCACGAGCGCCACGCAAACAAAAGTCGTCAAACTTCAAATTGTAATCGACGTTTGCTGGCAAATTTTCCACAACACCCATTGAAATCGATCAACTGCACGAACAAAGCGTTGTATCCTCAGCCGTCTTCAGCTACACTTTCCGCGCTCCACTCCTTCTTTGTCTCGCCTTTCAATGCTGCCGTTTTGCTCTTCTCGCGCGTCCCGGCCTTCACCGACAAGTCTGTGGCAAAGACCGCGGCTACAAGCATGGCCTCCAAAATGCTGCGGAGACTTGGGTTTCAGCGTGTGGGGCTTGAGGCTTTAGGTCTCCGGCGTTGGGCTTTAGCGTGTAAGGTTCCAGGTTGAGTTTCACCTGGAAGCTCGACTGAATCTCTCTATGAAATTCCGCACTCAGGAAAATCCAGCATCCTTGGACTGGACGTCGAAGGAGAACATGGATGAGACGACTTCAATGTCCTTCGTCATAAGCAGAGGCTTTACCTTCCGTCTCAACAAAGGTTCAAGGATTCCTCAACCGAATCTCTGGATGTGCTAGGCCTCCGTAACTCTTGAACTCGTGTGCTCACTGGCTCACTGCTGTACAGACCAGTCATGTGAACATGACAACAGTCGTAAACATGGTGGTTCCCATACCAGCAACAGTGACGATAACTTGACAGTAGTACTGACAGCTATCAGAAATCTAGCTCGGGCAGGAAGGCAGAGACCGGACGGTGATCCAGGGCCCTACTTCAAAGGGACGACTCATCCGAAGATCCCGCAAATTGAAGCCCTGGGCTTGGATTAGGTGCTCGGGATAGGGAGCGTTGACCTAGAGGAGGTTCAGGACGGTGCCTCAGCAGCCCTGCCGGCGCTGCCAGAGTCCTGCCCATGCCGGACACATGACAAAGGGGTCACCTCACATTCTGAAACTCTCACGTGGAACGAACCCCTTAAGTAAGAAACAGTCACCAGGTCTTCCTGCCCTGATTAAGGCTGGAGGTGAATGCCCAGGCAATGCAGCTTGGATCGTAGACATTCCAACATCGGAGTTCCGACAAGATTCAACAGTTAGGGTCTGGGGTCTGGGATCGTATCGGGGTCGATTCTGCTCTTCGGATCCCAACTTGCAGCAGCTGCTGCAGTAGGCAACTGCCTTCGCCATGTGGGTCCTTCTGGCGATTGTTGCTTTCAACTCCCTCCCTGCCAAAAAGCGCTGCCTTCAACAGTGCGTACGACCACAACCCTGATTGCAGTATGGCCTCCTGGCTTCAAAACTAACTCGCAAGAAGGGCTTCGGGCTTGGAAAGCCGTCCAGTCCTTCATCCAGAGGCTGCATGCACTTTGCACCATGTTCGTGTCCTGCTGCGGCACAGTCGTAACAGTTGTCGTCGTCGTGGTAGTTGTAGCAGCAGCACCAGCAGCAGCAGCAGCAGCAGCAGCAGCAGCAGCAGCAGTAGTAGTAGTAGTAGTAATAGTAGTAGTAGTAGCAGTAGTGACAGTAACAGCAGCAGCGGCAAGTGGCCGGGTCGGAGCGGAAGCTGCCGAAGTGCCCAGCCCGGATTTGGTAAGTGCAGTTTTTGCGGTGGAGGGGGGGCGGATTGCGGTGACGCTGTTGCTGGACATGGCAAACTACGGATGAGGTTTGTGCCAACTGCTGATGACTGCTGATGCTGACGACAACAGCGGCCGAGTGCACGACGAATGCGCCACCGCATTCGAACTCCTTCGCTCCACCAGCGGCTGCGCGGGGACCTTCGACGGCGTGCATGCCTCGGGGCGGGACCGATTTGGGTCGCACAGCGTCTCAGCGGCAGAGATTCGGGGACCGGAGACCCAGAAAGAAAGAGTTGACACATCCACGCAAAGAAGTCTGAACCGCACGCTGGTTCTCGCAAGCCCTTACGCAGGTCCAGCCAAAAAAGATCTCCATCTGAGAGGCTCCAGCGCTTATGTCTCGGCGGCAGAGATTCGGGGACCGGAGACCCAAAAAGAAAAAGCTCCCTAGCGCCTGTGACACATCCAAGCAAAGAAGTCTGAACCGCACGCTGCTTCTCGCAAGCCCTTACGCAAGCTCCAGCCAAAAAGGATCTCCATCTGAGGCTCCAGCGCTTATGTCTCGGCGGCAGAGATTCGGGGACCGGAGACCCAGAAAGAAATCCACACAAAGAAGTCTGAACCGCACGCTGGTTCTCGCAATCCCTTACGCAGGTCCAGCCAAAAAAGATCTCCATCTGAGAGGCTCCAGCGCTTATGTCTCGGCGGCAGAGATTCGGGGACCGGAGACCCAGAAAGAAAGAGTGACACATCCACGCAAAGAAGTCTGAACCGCACGCTGGTTCTCGCAAGCCCTTACGCAGGTCCAGCCAAAAAAGATCTCCATCTGAGGCTCCAGCGCTTATGTCTCGGCGGCAGAGATTCGGGGACCGGAGACCCAGAAAGAAAAAGTTCCCTAGCACCTGTGACACATCCACGCAAAGAAGTCTGAACCGCACGCTGCTTCTCGCAAGACCTTACGCAAGCTCCAGCCAAAAAGGATCTCCATCTGATGCTCCAGCGCTTACGTCTCGGCGGCAGAGATTCGGGGACCGGGGACCCAGAAAGAAAGAGTTCCCTAGCGCCTGTGACACATCCACGCAAAGAAGTCTGAACCGCACGCTGCTTCTCGCAAGCCCTTACGCAAGCTCCAGCCAAAAAGGATCTCCATCTGAGGCTCCAGCGCTTACGTCTCGGCGGCAGAGATTCGGGGACCGGAGACCCAGAAAAAAAGAGTTCCCTAGCGCCTGTGACACATCCACGCAAAGAAATCTGAACCGCACGCTGCTTTTCGCACGCCCTGACGCAAGCTCCAGCCAAAAAGGATCTCCATCTGAGGCTCCAGCGCTTACATCTCGGCGGCAGAGATTCGGGGACCGGAGACCCAGAAAGAAAGAGTTCCCTAGCACCTGTGACACATCCACGCAAAGAAGTCTGAACCGCACGCTGCTTCTCGCAAGACCTAATACGCAAGCTCCAGCCAAAAAGGATCTCCATCTGAGGCTCCAGCGCTTATGTCTCGGCGGCAGAGATTCGGGGACCGGAGACCCAGAAAGAAAGAGTCGACACATCCACACAAAGAAGTCTGAACCACACGCTGGTTCTCGTAATTCCTTACGCAGGTCCAGCCAAAAAGGATCTCCATCTGATGCTCCAGCGCTTACGTCTCGGCGGCAGAGATTCGGGGACCGGGGACCCAGAAAGAAAGAGTTCCCTAGCGCCTGTGACACATCCACGCAAAGAAGTCTGAACCGCACGCTGCTTCTCGCAAGCCCTTCGCAAGCTCCAGCCAAAAAGGATCTCCATCTGAGGCTCCAGCGCTTACGTCTCGGCGGCAGAGATTCGGGGACCGGGGACCCAGAAAGAAAGAGTTCCCTAGCCCTAGCGCCTGTGACACATCCACGCAAAGAAGTCTGAACCGCACGCTGCTTCTCGCAAGCCCTTACGCAAGCTCCAGCCAAAACGGATCTCCATCTGAGGCTCCTGCGCTTATGCATCACCTCGCCGTAGCTGCCCAGCTTGGCTTGGATGTTTCCTGCGAGATTGCCCTAAATCCAACCTTAAGAGCATGTTTACGCCACAACGCCCAAGCCAAGATCCTGAATCTTCGCATATTCTACCTATCCATCCTGACCACAAAACCGACCTCCTCAAAGCGCTCGCGAGGCTGGAGCTGTGAACTCGCAAAGGCTTCACAGCAATCTTTTGGGATCTCGGATCTCCCAACAGGAATCGAAAGCGATTGAGGGAGCTTTGCAAGTTTCTTGCATGTTCGGTCTATTTTGGCCAGCTATGCTCGAAAACCCTACACAGCCCAGCCTGCAAAACGCACAAGACTACAAGAGAAATGCTGTTAAATTCGTTCCCAAAATGGGCTTCGGAGCGGCCCAGGCAGCAGAATGGTAGAGTTATTCTTATGGCTTGCTTTTCCTCTTGCTGTCGGGAGAACGTCCTCTCATGGTCTTCGGGGCGTCCTTGGCCCAGGTCCTGAGGCACAAGCTGCCGAGAAAAGAAACGGGATAGTGCTAGTCATCGCAGTCGTAGTAGCAGCAGCGGTTGGCAACAGCAGCAATTAATTGCGGTCATCGTAATTAATACCTTTGAGAACTGTCATCATAGCACAAGAGTGCTTTACCAGTCGGCAGATCAAGTAGCAGAGCAAGAAGAGGAAGGTCCGTAATCGTAGTGGACAAGGCGCCTCGAGTTCCTCCCTTCAAGCCTTCAAGCCGAGCCCCCGGCCCTGAGGACACTTTGAAGGGGGCCCTTCTGCACAGGCTTTCAACTGACTGCAGGGACTACTGCCTGCAGGGCTCTTTGCACCAATTGGGGGCTTAGGGCTTCAGGTTGGTTTAGGTCTGTGCCGCAGCAAGCTGGCCTTGGCTCCGTCAGTTGCAAGCACATCCATCTCGATGTTGCTTACATAGCCCTTCTTACAACCACCCGAGCCCCTGCGCAAGCGCTGCCGATGCCGAGCGTCTTCGCCAAGCGCGGGAGGAGCCTTCGAGGATGGGTTCGGGGTTTAGCGTTTAGGGAGTTTCCCAAACCTGAGTTGGGCTTTCCTGTAGCCCTCCGAGCTGAGCAGTCTCCTTCTTGTACCAGGGTACTGGCAGGAACAATCAAGCAGGGACTTAACTTATACGACTTCCAACACAGATGGCAATTGTAATTAGCAATGACACCAAGTGCTGATAGATCAACAGCCAACAGAAAGCTTTCCCCACCAAATCGAAAACTTAAAGCCCCAACACCTAAACCTAAGCCCTACTCATTGAACTTTCTTCTATAGAACCTTGCTCAGGCCTCTCAGCACCCATCCGAGCACGCCGTAGGAGCTCGACGAGTATCGGACCCACCTGCCGAAGGCTCGGGGCTTCTCTACTGTAGCCTTTAGGGTTTAGGGTTTAGGGTTTAGGGTTTAGGGTTTAGGGTTTAGGGTTTAGGGTTTAGCCTTTAGGCTTCCTTGGAGATTTCCTTTGGGCTCTAGTAGGGTTTTCCTTTGCAGGGCTCTAGTAGCGGCGTTGATGGGCACTGGAAAAGATTTGGAGGCTTCCGCCTCGCACCCATGCCGGCGCCTACTACTACTGTGACGACGACGACGAGTACTGACGGAGACTTACGACTGTAAGGAAACAGGGCCATTGGTGCTGGGTATTGCAGCCAGTTGCCGTAGCATTTCTGGGCACGGGGCTTACGCTTTGGCTTCGGACTCAAGAGAAGCACTTCCAAGCTTCACTTCGACTGCGCCGATCTGGTGAATAGCTGAACGTTCCACCTCGGCCAGCGCTACCCCAGGTCCCGACGGATCCATTGTCAAAAATGGCAACGAACGCACCGGAACCAAGCCAAAACGATTGGATCTGCTGCACATTCTTCAGCGCCTTATGCACAACGCCGCTGTCACCACCGTACTCAGCATCACCCCAGGTGACGACCGATCCATCACCAAGAATAGCAGCGAAAGCGCGACGAGTGGCTTGGATCTGATGCACATCCTGCAGCACGTCCTGCACAGCAGCGCTGTCTCCGCCAGTAAGACAACACCCCCAAGTCACCACAGATCCATCGCCAAGAACGGCAGCAAACGAGCATAAAGATGCCTGGATCTGCTGCACGTTCTTCAGCTGGTCCTGCACAGCCCTGCTGTCGCCACCAAAATCAGCATCGCCCCAGGTCACGACAGAACCGTCACCAAGGATGGCAGCAAAAGCGCAGGCACAGGCTTGGATCTGCTGCACGTTATTCAGCTGGGCCTGCACAGCGCTGCTGTCACCACCCCAGTCACTGCGACCCCAGGTCACCACTGATCCATCGCCAAGGATGGCTGCAAAAGCCCATCCAGCTGGATCTGCTGCACGTTCTTCAGCTGGTCCTGCACAGCCCTGCTGTCGCCGCCAAATGCAGCATCACCCCAGGTCACAACACATCCATTGCCAAGAATGGCTGCAAAAGCGCTGAGAGTTGCTTGGATCTGATGAACATTATTAATTAAGCCGAGCCCGCACAGCGCTACTGTCACCACCAAACCCACCACTACCCCAAGTCATCACCGAACCGTCGCCACGGATGGCAGCAAAAGCACCCATTGTGGCTTGGATCTGATGCACATCCTGCAGCACGTCCTGCACAGCATTTCTGTCTCCGCCCCAAGTCACCACAGATGCATCGCCAAGAATGGCAGCAAACGAGCATAAAGACGCCTGGATCTGCTGCACGTTCTTCAGCTGGTCCTGCACAGCCCTGCTGTCACCACCAAATGCAGCATCGCCCCAGGTCACGACAGAACCGTCACCAAGGATGGCAGCAAAAGCGAAGCGATTGGTTTGGATCTGATGCACGTTCTTCAGCTGAGCCTGCACAGCGCTACTGTCACCACCATACCCAGCGTCACCCCAGGTCATCACTGAACCGTCGCCACGGATGGCAGCAAAAGCACGTTGAGTGCAACATACCTGCACCTGGCCTACAGACAGGGTCAGCGAGTCGCCATCCTGCAGGTGCGCACATCCATCCAGAAGACCTCCGGATGAGTCCAGCAGCCGACTTCTCCCAACTCCGAGCGCAGCCTGTGCCCGACGTTTGAGTCTTTTGACTTCTTCCTCAAGCCCGACTTCCACCGTAGCGCTCTTCCCGCTGAGCAACCGAACTTCCACACGAATCGACATGTTGCTGACGGAATGGGGAGTAGCTGGACCTATGACTATCACTACCTTTTATCACTATGTATACGTACGGATATTTGTATTACATGTCCGACTGTTCTCAATGACGTTCTCACCGTCGTCATTATCGCACTCTTTTTTCACTGTCATCATTGTTGCGGCCTTGGCTTTGTACTGTTGGTAGTCTTCGTCGTGGCAGATGCTGCGCTTGCGGCAATACCGTAAGAGCCGTTACACGCACCGAACGGCTCGGGATTTAGGGTTTGGTGTAGTCTCGCCATTTTAAATTTTGTCTTCCTGACTATAACTTATATACTTCCCGCGTCGTAGCGTTCAGTAATCGAGGTTTATACAAGGTTTGAATTTACATGGGTACGTAGTTCTACTTCAGGGTCCTCGCAGACTTCTTGTACAATGCTTGCAGACATTAGGGCTGGGGGCGTCATGTGCGACAGACGGACTTGAGATATCAAAACCTGTCCATACCCTGATCACAGTTTCTGTGGCTGAGTGATACATACTCGCTAATGCTTCTGTGGGTAGCGACAAACATCCATCAATATCACTGTGTTTGCTCATACACCTCCGAATTCCATCTAGCCGGAACTCTCGGTGTGTCATCGCTCAGATCGCCCAGCTGAAGGCTGCTGTCAACTCAGCCGCATGTTAGAGACCACATGAGACGAACAGTAGCATTCAGGGCCTGAGCTTCATGGGTTCAAGCCTCGTATTGAGGCTTTAGGATTTAGGACGACTCACTGCCAGCAGTTCCCACACGGTTCGGCTTAGGAGTCTCACACGGGGATCATAAGGGAATGCTACGCTGACTATTCCGACCGTTATATGCGACAAAACTGTATGGCTGGCTCTAGAAACTAAGCATACACTGAGCGGTATCACTATATCTGACAGCAAGCAAGACTGTTGTAGGGACGTGTTGTACGAGGGCTATACTTGCAGAGCACCATGGTAGTAAAAAGTACCGTGAATGTGGCAAACGGTCCGTGATGGGGGATACATAGTCGCAGTAGCAGCTATCGTCAAAGGAAACGTGGTGTGACATGTCGCTCACCCTAAGACCCTAAGGAAGGTGCAGAGGGCAGATTGCAGCTGTGGTATCGCTATATCTGATAGAGGTACTTCGATTGTCATCACTGTGGTGTTAACGTTTTTTGTCTTAGCACTGGCGCAGCTACAAAGGTGGTGCAGACATCATTAGCGCGATCGCTTTCACTGTCACTGTTGCTATATTCCCCTGTCCCTCTTTGCGGCCTTTTTCATTCGAGCTTAAGTTTTGCGTTTACATGGGGACTAACGGCAGTTTGCAAGTAAAGCAACGCATACTCTCCCGTCTTGATTCCTGAGCTTTGCCTTAAGCGCTTTCGGCTTAGAGTTTCCTTTGGTGTAAGGGGTTTCGGTAGAATTCCTACACACTGCTGGTATGTATATAAAAGGTGTCTAGGGCTTTATTGGGGAGTTTCGGATCTCTTGACGGCTTTACGTAGAAGGTCATAGGAATTCCATGGGAAGGAATGCGCTGCTGTAAAAGTGTATTCAAGAGCTTCTGCCGGCTTGGAAAGTTCTGGAGTCAACCCCAACATAGCGGCCTGAATCATTGGAACAGGGTGTGCCTCCGGTTGGAGTTGGAGACCGTGCTTCCCATTGAGCGTGTTTTCCGAGACGTTCACGGACCTTGGTGGGTTTTGGGCTTAGGGGTTCGGGATTCCGACGATTCCGGAACCACAGAACAAACTACCTAAACTGAACCCTCAACCTTCCAGCCAAAACCCTAAACATGTTTCAGGCCCGGGCAGGAACCGAAGCTTCACGCCGGACTTTCGCGCTGCTTCCCAGGCCCAGCGGACGCGCGTCTGAGTTGCGCCGCGATGTCAGTGGCTTGCAATTGAAGGTTCAAGTCGCTTCGGGGGTTCTTTGAGGCTAGGCTGGGTTCAATCTTTGACCTGTTGAGCAGGCTTTAGGTCCAGCTTCAGGTCCAAGCCACAGACATAAGCCTCAAGAAGGCCAGGATTCTGGAAGACCGGAGACAGGTGACAGGGTGCATTTAGCTGCAGCCACAAGTTGTGTCTCACGCAGTCTCTGGCCTCGTCTGGCATAACATCTCGAAGGGTTCCAGTGTGAAGCCCCTAGACATTCTCAGAAGCAATCACGTGCACATCAAGCCTTAGACGGTTTTGCTCCTAGCCGGGACGCTGCGTCCCAGAAACCTTGGAACCTTGAACCGCTTCACTCCAGAATGAGCCCTGCCCGAGCCCGCAGGATTGACGCCCGGAAAACTCCCTGAGCTGTTGGAATATTGACCGCTAGGGCCTGTTAGGGGTTTGTGGCTTACCTGGTATGGCCGTTGGGCGCCTTGACGTCCAGACCGCGGCCTCCCACGTCGTGGGCCTCGTGGTCCTGCGGAGAGCACGCGCCATCGCACGTGCCCGAGAGCTCTTTCAAAGCTTACTGGCTGTCTGCTCAGCTCTCAGCTCTCTCTCACTTGGGTTTTTCCGTGGCACGCGCTCTTTGTCTCTTTCGTGTCACTCCCCGGGCTCCGCGGAGACCTCCACGAGGAGGAGGATCGCCACGGCGTCGTCTCGCTGACCCTTCGAGACTCCCATGGCTCAAGAAGGCGCTCGGAGAGCAGGGCAGTTGGGAGCCCAGGATGAGGCCCAGGCGCTAATTCTTGGGGTCCAAGCACCAGCACGGCTTCCCAACTTCACACTCATCTCGAGGGAGTTGTCTGGGTTTTGAGGCTTCGAGTCTGGGTTTGACGGTTCACGGCTCTGGTGTTGGGGCTTCTGCTGGACATGCTAGGTTGCTCCACAAATGCCCGACACGTGTCCTACCATCTCACCTCCCAGCTTAGCTAGCTAGAGTCTTGCATCAGAGTCACACCTACATCAAATGCTTCGCCGAGGAGTGCAAAGAACCTTGAACCCACACGCAACACAAGTCACACCGCAGGAACACCTGGGCAGTTTCGCATTCCAGAGACACGACAACTGGGACACTGGACACCAACACCCAAAAAAACACAAAAAACGGCCGGGACAGCCGAAAACTCAAACAAACGCACCATTGGGGGATTCGTTCATATCACAACTTTTTACCGGGGAAGCCTGGGAACTGGAAATCTTAAGACTTTCGGAACTTGTTTGAAGAGAATCATGATCTCAGGCATGCTGCATGACACATAACTTCAAACATGTTCCTGCATAGGTGTGTCCGATGTCATTCAAGTAGCTGCTTCATGCAGCATTTGACACCCAACCTGTGGATCTCTCCAGTGATCAAGCTTTCTGCATGATACAAGCTCGTTGTTGGCGGCCGTTCAAATGATCAACACGACTGGAATCTTGGCTCCACTGACGGGTGTAAACTAGCGGCCAAGTCTTCCTGAACCGTGACAGAGTTAAACAGTGAGACTCTAAGCGGTCACGCTTTTTCTCTTGAACCACAAAAGGCGCTGTGTCGTAGCCATGCGTTTCATGGGCTCCAACAATGGTGTGGGATACTATACAAATCTATACAGGTTCCTATCTATAAATCTTAACAGAAGTACACGTGGATGCAGA